CCGTGATCATTTCGGTCATTATTTTAGTAAATCTTCATTAAATCTAATAATATTAAAATCGTAAAATTATTGAATACTTTAGCAATATTACACAAATGCTAAGCACAATATTAATTAAATTCTATTGAGGCAGTGCTGCGGTTGAAACAATTTTCATTCAAACATAAATTTAATTAGTGTTATTTGAAACTGCGACCGATCGATCGTGAAAAAGAAAAATAACATTTGGAATTGTGATTAAATCAGATTATGAATGGCAGTGCGCAAGGTATCATGAAATGTTTTGATGTCAAATGATGACTACTATTAATGCATCCACTGATACGCAATGACGTTCGAAAAGTGATTTCAATTGAATATCTTTTACAATCGTTATTCATTTGAATCTTGTGACGTGAAAAATATATCGCAGCTCAACGGTATTGCGTGTCGGATTTGGATATAAAAATTTTACGATCAAAATTCGTGCGAAATTTAAGTTCGATTGATTGATTTTCAACTTGCGAAGTTTCAGTTTTCAGAAAAATACATCTTTGTGAATCTTTTTAGAAAAATAATGTCCAAATTTATTATAACAATTATTCTGGCGTGTAACAATTCCAACTATAGATTATACCAAAGCCTTAAACCTACACAACTGATAGATGAAGTGTAAATATCAGCTGCTGTAGATGGTTAAATTAAACATTGTTTCTCAATTTACAATCACGAAAGAAAGGGAAGAAAATGAATAATAGTCGCTGAGAAGATACCGTAACAACCAGCGCGATGCTTCGTCGTCAATACAACGATAATACCCCAAATTACCAGCGACTAAAGACGGCAATTAACCTCGGACGCTTCGCTTGTGCGAGTAGAGCGGAGAAGACGAGTCACGGGAGGACGATTCGCTGTACTCTCGTTTTATTATATTGCAGAGGGAAAGGTGCGCGCTTGTATCGCTTTACGAGGCTCGACAGCCACTAAAAGCTCCGACGTCTCGGTGATTTCGCGGTCGGCCGCTGATCTTTTATTTTTTTTTTTCTTCCCCGAGATAATTTTTGGCCGCGAAACAGCTTTTTATATAGCCGCAGTGTGAGTAGCTTTTTTTTCATCCAGTCCGTTTCGCTAGGCTCGTTGACTTTGGTTTTTATCTGGCTCCGCGGAATAATTATCGTTCGTTGTTCTTTTTGGCATAATTAGCACTGCTTACATTTTCAACTATGTGTTTACACGAAAATAACCAGCGAGATAGCTGACATTTACTTGTTGGGGTTATTAAAATTATTCGGGCTACGCTTGTTTGGTCTTTTTTTCACGTGCAGGGTAAAAGTCACGCTACGAGTTCAATTCTAATGAACTTCGCTCTCATTTATGATAGGAGCGCTCCGAACTGTTGTAGGTGTCCGTGTCTGGCTTTGTCAGCAAGGCCGAAACAAGGAAATAAAAAATTAAGCTTTATATACATGAACAAGCTTGCTAATTACCCGCTTATAGGAAATTGGCTAAGTGTTCATTAGAAGAATTAAACTTGCAATGTAACGTAACTTTTGAATAGAGTTAATAACGAGATATTAGTTTCCGTCCATCTCCTCGCATCAGAGTCTGGAAACTAATTTCAAAAGCAGTTTCCGACAATTACTTTTAATTGATTTGCTCTCTCATTCGTATTAGGCAAACAGCCTGTATTAAACCTTGTACACAAAGACGGGTATACATTAAGCAGAATGTAGTATTCCGCTCGACAACTTCGACGGAGAATGAATTTCTATTCAGTTTCATTTCTATAGCCTTGGATACACTCGGCAAGCACTGAATAATAAGTAATCGATTGCTTTCACTAGAAACTTAAACTCGAGCGATTGATCGAGACCTGCGAGAGAAAAAAGTGAGACTCTACCGAGAAGAAACCAATGAATTTTCAATAGCTACAAGAAAGAAAAACAAATCACGGCAGAAGGCTATCTGCTGATCAGTGCAGATGCTCGCATTTTATGTATTATTTATCAATTCTCAGTTACACGTGCCCTTCTACCGAGATGATTTCCCGTCTTGATAAAGGGGTGTACGCAGTTTTTACGATGTTCATTGTTTTTGTCAGATATTAAGTGCGTCGACGTCGACGCTGATGCTCCCAGCGTTCCCAGCAAAAACACGGCTTCAAAGTATGAAGGACTTGTTACTATCGCGTTGCTTTCTATTTGTTCAAGATAATAAATTACGGTCCGTAAATTACAACGCCATTGTGATATTTAAATTTCCTTCTCTATTTACTCTGCAATATGATGATTATTACATCGACAACTCGCCGAAGATTTTCACGCTTAGACAAGTTTCCATGTAATAACATTAAATAAATAATATTTACTTCCACGATACCAAAAAAGAAAACGAAATTCGTGGTATAATTAAGAAGGAAAAAAAATCGAGTCTCAACATTTCTCGAAAGCCGCATAGTTGAAAGTGTATAACAACTCTCGTCCTTAGCCATTCATGAGTCAAATTAACGAATAATTTTTCACTAATTGAAAGTCGCCCCGTTTTCTTAGACGACGTCGGCACAGAGAACTAACACAAAGCTCCGCGCGTAAAAGTGTCGCATGTAAGTATGCGCACTCTGCCTCTCTCTTTCTCTCGACAAATTAGGCCGCGCGCGCAAGTACGAAAGCCCCTTGAGATAGAACAGCCTTGTTGAATCGCTCCCAGGTCTCAGCTCTCTCTCTCTCTCTCTTTCTGTCTTGACTATCCCGACAATTATCGACCTCTTCTTACAGAGCTTATAGTGCTGGCTCATGATATGTATACCGATTTATTTGGTTCAGTCCCACAGAGTTATCGGTGGTCGTTTTTTTTATCTACGTTTTCTAGATGGAAAACTCTGTACTTTTATCATGATAAACAGTATGATTTATATCATAATCAAAAGTGGATAAAGTACTCGCTCAGCGATGAATTATGCCGTGTCATTATTGAACAGGAAACGTAAAGATTTTAGTGCGGTAATTCGAGAGATATTTGTGTTCAAACTAGCAAAACATCTTTTCACTTAATTCACATCTAATGAATTTATTTTCTATCAAAACCTAATCGAATATCCATTCGCCTCGTAAATGTTATTGACTATAACGTTATTTCTACTGGAAAAAAAAATCGATTAATTTTCGTAAATATGAATAGGAAGATAAATAAATCAGACATATCAATATTTTATAATCTAACATTAGCTGGTTTTGATAAAATAGGAAAAGCCAAAGGATATAGACGGAATAACTTTCGTGCATACACTATAAAATATTTAAAATTTACGCTCGAATAATACTTTTCATATAAAGATAAAATAAAAAATCACTCGAATAATCTTGCATATAAATATAAAAGTTGATAAATACAATTGTCCGTGTAATGTCAACACGAAGATTGATAAAGTATCGGAAACCCATACAATTTTTTGTCAATTCAAAGGTGCGTTAACAAGATCGCATGAAGTAACACTTGGGCCGGTTAAACGACGGGGACATTTTGTACGAAATTTTATATTTCACAGCTTTTTGTCGCTCAACTCTGAAAGCGAGTGACAGCAGCGAATTACTGTTTACAACGTATAGGCTCAAAATATATACATATAGTCCACAGCTCAACAGGGTGTAAAAAATTGCTGTGAATTTTGCTCCCCGTGAGTGCGCTTTTACAATTTAGACCCAAAAAGTATGAACGTTTTCACGAGAAAATAATCATAACGAATTTAATGAAAAGCTTCTTCTAAGCCTGCCAATTTGGATCATGAATATAACACCGTAAGCGTCTTATTGTCATTGCTGTAAAGGTCTAGTTTTATTTACTTTTTATTGTCGAGACATTGCTATATGCGCGTGACGAATATTTTCTTATATTTCTTTCGAAATAAAAAAGTTTTACGACGTGATCATTCGTAATCTGATTCTGTAGTTTTCACCAAGGATATTTTTTTTTACCGGTATTTCCCCAACGCATATCTGTAGAGAGTGAGCTTGTTTTTATTCTCAACAATCTCGCGGAAACTCATTTCGACAAAAGGAAAGAAACGAATATTCGGTCGACCAGTAAATTGAGGATGCATATTGCACAAAAATCCGTTTGCAGTGCGTCGAGCGCACAAAAATTGAATCCTCTCACGAGAATCCATCCCCCAGAAAACGCGATGGCAATACCATACGCTAGCGGCGCCTCAATTTCGCACTACTCGTGTCTCGATTGCGAATGTGTGGTAAGTTTTTTGTACTTTATAGCCTATACACGATCGATTTTGAAAGCGTCGACAGAGAAAAATAAGAAAAAAAAGCAAGAACTAATGGCCATTACTGCGCCCAGCACTTTGCGCAACTAGTTTTATGGTGATTACATTATAACAACACTGGCTGTCGTCTAATTTGCCTCTGACGAGGCACCTTTTCGCTTGATTTTCATCGGCGTGTTAGCACACGGGCTTCGAGCGGGCGAAAATATCGAACGAGTAACACTATAATTCAGGAAAAAAATCAAGATTGAAAGTTTGTCTCTATCGCCAAGAGCACAAAAGCTACCAAATAAACTGGGATTACCGGAAATGAGAAGAAACGCGTCGCGGACGATAAGACTACAACGGGCGAGGATGTACGCGAGAATGGAGATCGATCCCTCGTGCGATGATGCACTCGTCGGCGAAAACAAATCCCGTCGGGCTACGCCCTGTCCGCAATGAATTTCCGCTGCTGTGCAGCACCGCGCGACCAACTCGGAAATGCAATTCTCAGGTCGCCCCCTCCCTCTTCGCAATTGGCCACGATCGTCTTTGATATTTCGTGCCATTGGCCTCGTGACACAGTCAGTGCGTAAAACCGCATTCGCCGCTCGGCACGCACACGTACGCGTGCACACGCCGAGGAGAAGGGATTGATTGCAGGGCGCGAAGGATTTCGCTGCGCGAACCAGCGAAGTCGAGGTGGCGAACGAGTGACGAATGATAACGTGTCACATAGGTATTACAATGAAATGATGTATCTCACCATTGATGCCAAGGATGACAAGCATCGAACAGCACAGCAAGGTAGAAAGCACGGAGCAACGGTAGCAGCTCATGACTGGTCATCACACATCATTATAATCAGCATCATCAATAAACATCACACTCGCGCACCTACTTCACCGGCCGCTAACATATCTGTGCCAATGGCTCTCCCTCTCTCTCTCTCTCTCTCTCTCTCTCTCTCTCTCTCTATCTCTCTCTCTTGGGGGCGCGCGCAGAGCACTATAAAGCACACACTATTCCCACGCTATATAAGCACTGCCCGTTGCTCACTGCAACGTACCGAGGCGACTGTGCCGTGTGCGTTCGTATCGTTCGTCCCGGGCGAAGCGGCGGCGGCGGCCGCCAGCAGCCAGCCAGGGGGTTGCTGCTGCTATTGCCCGCGCCCGCGCAACGAGACCCGGGAGCTGCGCAAGCGTGCTGCTCCGTCTCTTTTGTCTCTCGCGCTCGCCGACTCGCTGCTATCTGCTGCGCCGCCGCCACCGCCGCTTCCTTCGCATGATTTTTCGCGCCTCGTGCTTAATTGCCGGGATAATGCCGGCCGCGCTTGCTTGCTTGCTTGCTTGTTGCTCGCCTTTTTATGGGTCACGCCGGGACACATCGATTCTTTAGATCCGCTGTTCCTTTACTTCACGTCCGCCTGTGCGACAACCGCCGCGTCTCCTTTTTATCTTCTTTCGCTATCTGTTTACTGCATTACCGCCCATTGACTTATTAACTACGCTGCGCAATTATCGGGCTTCCATTAAATTCTTTTAATGAAAAATCGGACCTTTGAGATAATGCGTTCAGCATTACTAATTCAGTTCCACGCGATTTTGTTAAGTTCTCAAATTGAGCGCACGTTGCTTTTCAATTGGCCAATGGACGACTTAAAAATATCAAAAATTGTGTGCCCCATTTATGATACCATTTTTTATTTTTATAAAAATTGGTCGAGAGAAAGTACACGATTTTTAATGGTCTTTTAGAATTTGATAAAAAACAAAAAATAAATAACGTCAGTGCGATTTGAAATTCTACAAATTAAAGTATGTCGGATAACATGCATTATTTTATTTTTGCACAAAATTTTTCTTGTAGAGATATTTTCAAATCTGTAAAATTCTATAAAATCTCAAAACTAATGAATTTGCAAAGTTGATATGTTTGCGTAAGATTTGAGTTTTCAAAATAAGGTTCGAAATCGAGTAAAATATAAACCAAGATATCGTTTCCGATCGATGTTTATCCGTAAAAATTCCAGGTCGAACATTATTTTGAAATCAGATTTACGTTATCTTTTTTCGTTTTAATTAAAATCCAAAAATACCATAAGAAAATTGCAAAAAAATACGTTATCATTTTTATTGATGGCAAAGTTTTCGCGTGATTTTAATGCCTCTGCGACAAAAAAGAAGTGTCAAAAAATAAGTATTTTAAAGCTTTCAATAGATCATACCACGATAAAATTATAAAATTGACATTCATCATACATTCAGAGTCAAATAATCTAAATTCAAAAATTGAAAATCCATACCTCGATGTTTTTTCAGAAATGTCCTTTGTTTTCCCGTACAGAATGGCTTTACGGCACAGCGTCGTTTGAACAATATAAATTGTCAAGTTAACTCAAATGCTATCGAATACATACCACAGAGTTTGTACGAAAGTAAACTTGATTATGCAGTTTCCACTGTATTGCAAGCATATACCTTCATACTGTATACTAGTATTACATACCTGCGAAATCAGAGAAACAATCTTTTGTCGCATGTGAAACGAGTGTGAATTCTCTGAACGGTTTTTCTGCTGATGTAAAATATTTTCACTATATATCCGTTTGATCTTTCGTGTTAGCGTAAAAAATTTTTTTGTAGCATAGTCCCCTTAAATTGACAGAAACGTTCGCATTCTTAAAATACGAAATATATCCTCTTTTCGTATTTGTCAATACACGCGAGAAAATATGCATTTCATTTGAGGAATTTCTTAATAGAAAAAGATGCACGCACGTGTCTGTTGTAGATGTATATAGGTATATTGGCATGCCGCACTTCGACAACTACTCTTTCTATCCCTCTTACGGTTCTCATCTTAGAATGTCAAAGAAATTCACCCTTTCCGAGAGTTTGTTCCCCGTATCCCCTGAAGCATGCGAGAGACTGAGAGAGCAGCGAACTTTAAGGTGGCTTTACGAAACTACGGTACAAAGAGAGAGAGAGAGAGAGAGAGAGAGAGAGAGAGAGAGAGAGAGAGAGAGAGAGGACGGGAATTAAGCGGCAGCACAGAGAGAAAGATCTATTTATAGCCAGCATCCAAGGTACTGATGGATGTAAATTGGAATCTCTTCTGGCGCAGATTGCCTTTGGGTTTTAGAATGATGATCAAGTCTTGAGGCACACTTAGCGCGGAGAAAAGGCTTCCTGCATTTCAGTTTCTACATTGCCGCCAGTAGTTTATCAATCGATTTGGAATTTACTTATTTTAACGTTAATGGATCGGACACTTCAGACAAACTTTGGTCGTATTTAAAAAAACTTGCCTCGTTTTATGTTACGACCAAGTTTGCTACAGATTTCAGCACCAACATCACAACTATACGTACGTACATTACCGAGCTTTCATCCTCTTCAAGTCAATATTGCTCGAAAATGGATCGTGTCGACTTTTATCAGACTTTTCATCGGTTTTAAGGCCAAAAAGCTCAGTTCGGTATCACAGATTTGATTCAATTTCAATTATACTTAAACTTCTGCCTTTCTTTAACGTAATTTTTCGGAACCATTAAAGAGAAGCTTAAGCTTAAAACATTCTTTAAACTTAAGATTCTTTTTTCAAAAAGTAAATCTGAAGGTACACACTTTAAGTATTGATAGAATTCCCGTGACTATATTATTTTATAAAACTAAAGTTTCTTTTGAAAAATTTAAAATATTGCAACTCTTATTTCTGCATGAAAATGTTAGATAATAATGTACGATGAATCAAACTGAATAAATAAAATTATCGATCGAAAAAATTATGGAAAAAGCTTTTTTTTACGTACACAGTCAGTAAAAAATGTGTAGCAGTAGCCGACAAGGAAAGGCAGGATGAGTCACTGAAAAAGCAGAGGATTAATGGATTTATCGCCAGTGGTATATAGTCAATGTTGTCATTCTGGTAACACATATAAAAGGTCGTCAACTTTGTCGTGTTTGTGTGCAACACAGCGCTTCGTCAGTCTTTTTTTTGTACACTTTAGCAGCTTTTTGTTCATCCTCGAGTCATCAAGCCTCTACACCGATAGAAGGCTAAGTGTTTGTCAGAGGACTGTTAAATTAATTGGTTACGTAAAAGTTTCTTGTCCCGATGAGAGTCGACTGTGGGATTTGTTTGCTTTTGACCGGTTTTAATGTCTTTTTGACGTTCTGCTATAGAGATAACAGTATGGTGATTGTATTGAATAATTTGGCTACATTAAACTGATGAAATCCAAATTTTTTATGAAATTTGTGTGTGTGTATCTGATTACAATTTTTCATATTATAACCTTAAATGGATGATCTTTGATTAGCTACCACGGAACCGTTTGTATTGCTTAACGAATACTTTCTCAATTGAATAGATTTATTATGTAAATTTTTTTTCCATTTATGACATAGCGCATTTTCAAAATCTTCAAAAAATATGAACGTAATATTTGGTACAACGCTACGTATTTTTCTCATTTGAATTTTTAATCATTAATTTGTGAAACAACTCTAGAAAATTCATGTATACAGTAGTAAGATCTTCCATTACAATAAAATAAATAATTGTGTAATGGTTCCTAATGTATTTTTCAAATCCCTAGAGAATATATTGAAGAACACGTATGACGAGCTGATTTGAATAGCGCGCCACGTGCCCAGTGAGTGCGACATTACAACAATGATCCGAATTGGCTGCGCGTATGCCAGCGGTAGGTGCTCGCATGGATACATCCTCAAGATGATCGGGTCGCAGCGCGGCGCGGGTCAATCACACCTGCCCGGGTTTCAACGCCTTTGTGAACGGCCCGATGTCTCACTGCTCCGACCCGAGACCACCGTCGCCTTGGCTGTCGTACGGGACCGAAGATTCATTGCAACCTGGATGGTCAACCAGCCTCATCCGCAAAGTCGAGCTTTCCGCTGCCCAACGGGTCCGAGTAGGCTGAACGATATAAATAACTGCCGTCATCTTTAAACCGAAGTATGTAAGCCAAGTTCCTTTTGTGATCACAGCTCTATCTGCGAAAACCGTACCGCGTCCACGAATTATATTGTCCGAAATCCGTCGTATTTGATTTGTCATGTATGCGAGAAATAATACTAAATGTCTGTGTAAGCTAATGAAATAAAAGTGTGAATGTCATAAACGTATGGCCATTGACTCTTTGCTGCGATTTTGTCACGTCGGAAATCACCTCACGCTGGGTTCCCGGGCAAACTCTACATCATTTCCCTTCCTTTCGTATTATGTGTCCTACTTTCGTGAAAAGTATAAATAATAATTTTATACATGCGAAATAAACGTAGCCAATACTTTTCTGCAAAACAATTGATAGTATGCCACTAAAAATGTAACAATGTCACAACTGTCAATAATAAACTATTGTTAAGGATTTAACAGGAATTTTTAAACTGAGACTAATCAATCAGAAAGTAAAGTCATTTGGCGAATTAAAATATTAGCAAGTTCTACTAAAACGATTGACCAATTGGAAAGTATGTACAACTATAGTTGTCATCGTGTAGTTCATATGCTTTTTACTATGCTATTATTGGAAATTCTCAAATTCTCTTTGTTTTAAGAAAGTTTCACTTCAAGTTATTTTGAATATCAGGATATATTAATACAGATGAATTCGTAAGATAAGTTTGCTCGTACAATTTATATTGATTAATTACATGTTTTGCATCTAATTTTTTAAATTTAGATAGCATGTTTTTGTCTTCATAGAAATGGAAAAATGCATTTACCGAAATAATTAAATTGAAATTATTTCCAAATCGACTGCTGAGTAGTTATATGATAATATGTTTTAGTACATTCCTTATCTACTGTGACGGAGTAGCTTATTGTTGGAATTTTGCAAAAGTTCTATTGTCAGCATTTCGATGATGATATTTTGTCACACGAGTATTTTAAATTACTAATGAAGACTTGTGTATTAAATTCTGTTATTAAAAATGTTACGATTCATTTTTTGAATTTTTATACAATTCAATACCGTTCAATACTATTTTAAATTACTGATTCCATGTCAATATGAGAATTGTCAATTTCTCTCAAACTAGAAAAAAATTTTTTAAATAAACAATCTGTAACAATCCATATTCAAATCAGTAGATTTAAATATTTTATATAAATCACATGAAGTATTGTTGAATATTTATTTTATAATATGTTTATAAGACCATAGTGACAATTCAAAATGATGTCTTGTTACAGTAAAATGTCACACATTTGTTAAATTAAATTATTGCATCACAAAAAAAACTAATAAGTAATTATCTTTAACATAAAGTTATATTCTTAGATTAGTTCCTTTTATCTTCTTAATTTGTTGGGCAATTTGTTTGATCTGTTTTTAAGAAAAGCCATTTGTTAATCTTGTATTTATCTAAAACCTTATAAGCTTTTTCCAAAATATCATCCGGAATATGACGTTCTCTTGTTAAGATCCACGCAAATCTAACGCTAAATTAAAAAGCTGAAATATCATAACTGGAATGTCGAAAAATGTATATCTATGTATATATTAGGTTTAAAATATTTACCTTATAAAACTTATATTGGTGCAACTCCATACAACTGCGTATGAAATATAATCAGTATCAAGTATCCAATAAGAACCTTCAACATGCACAGGCAGCGATGGAAAAATTACTGACAATTTAGCCTTTTCGGCCGTTTTTGCATATGCAAGTCCTGTAATACTTGGCTTTACGCCAATCCTAGAGTTTGCAATAGTTAGTGAAACAAAATCCCTCATTCTAAATGAAATCACCAAATCCATCAAAATATAATTATTTATAGCAAAAGTACACTTACAGTGGATAAGTACCTTGGTTTACAATGTTGACGGTACCATTATTGTTGGCACTGTAAGTTGCTGTAACGCATTGCAAACCGAATTGAAAAATAGCAAAGTATCGACGTTGTTCAAACCATCGTCCAATGTACTGAAAAATAAAAATTATAATCGTGATTGAAGTTTTCAATGTATCGATGCGTATTGCTCAGTCAAATGATTATAATCGTTATTTGCTACGTTGTTTTTAAATGTATTTATACATTCGTTTATGTGTATAAATTGAGTTACTAACCTGCTGGACATCAAAATCAGATTTAACCGATACAGCTGGACATTTGCCAGGTAGAATAACTTGAGCAAATGTGCTTCCAAGGAAAAGTAATGTAAAATAAGCTAACATTTTTATCGAACTCTAAGCTTTATAGGATACACTAACAGCATGAAAATAAATAAATATATATACTAATATATTCTTAAACATCGATAAATACTTTTTCGTTGATTTTAACTATTTTTAAGGCTCATAACACTGAAGAGCGATAATTCATATGTAGAGCAACACGCCATTACACCGTATTTTTTTGACGCAAATAATAGATTTTCAAATGACGACAATTTCAACTTACGTTGGAAACTAAATTACTTAAGCTAAGTGTTTCTTAATTATTTAGTAAAATGTATGTATGGGTGAATAATTATTCTTGAACATCAATATTTTTACACATGACATCCGTATGCGATTCGGATAAGAAAAAAATGTATAACTATATGTATCTATAGATATAACCAGAACTCAATTTTGAAAATTAAATTTAAACCTTCATCTGCCATTATTACCAAAAATTTTAACAAACAAATACGTAATAATTATTTTTATATATTTTTATTGCATTAGAATAATTATTGTATTATACTAGAATTATATTATTTTTCGTTTCGGTGGAACTACTCTTAGTTACTAACAATTATGATGTATTTGTGAATATTTTCAGTAAAAGGGCAGACAAAGGTTTGCATCAAACTTAGTATATTGAGTTATTTATTACCGATGAATTTATTACCACTTGTACACTATAGTTTCACGAAACAAATTAATATTGAAAATCATGTTGTTATTTCAATTATATTCTAATACAACAATGGCAATGTAGATATTCAACCGTTTGAAAAATATAATCATATAAGTATATCACTTGTAAACGATCAGCCGTTTGTGATAAATATACTCTCTATCAGTGTCGATAAAAAAAAAGAGCGCTGCGACAAAAAAGCGTAAAACCATTTAGACCCAATCCGCGAGCGACGAGAGCGATTTGGACGGTTCGCCCAGGGGAAAAAAAGCTGCCGGTCAATAGAGCACAAAGCGTAACACAGCTTTCGCGAAACAACAGCGCGAGAGGCGCGAAACTATCCGCATTTATCGTGAACGCGAGCGAGCGCAGCTGCATTCGATAAACAGATCGCGAGGGATGCTAACGCTCGCGGCGCACAGTCGTCCTATTTTATCTCTCTCTCTCTCTCTCTCTCTCTCTCTCTCTCTCTCTCTCTCTCTCTCTCTCTCTCTCTTTCCCTCCCGGATCATTTCAGTCGAAAGCTCGAATTTCGTCGGTATAAACTTGGCAACAATCCGAGCACGAGCAAAAGTCTCGAGGACCTCCGTTATTATGCGCGCCAGGTTGATCTTTTGCCGGGGTCCAAAGAATTTATTAGGGCTGCGGGTGCGAAACTATGTGCGTGGCATTCTTAGCGTAATCAGCCCATTCTCCTGCTTCCAGAAATTTTGTTAATATTAGCCAAGTTTTGCGTATGATTTACATGTACTGTTGCCGTTCTTGCCGCATGCCTTTGACAATTGTTGTCACAATGCTGTTGCGCTGGCTTGACTTATATCAGCTTCAAGTGACTTATTCGCAATATGATCCGTCACGTGCTTTTCAACTTTACCGGTAAGTTTTGGTATCAGCTGAAATGAAACATTAGAAAAGTAATGTGTATAAAGTTGATTTTATATACATTGAATGGTATTTTGAAGAAGCAATATTCATGCGTATTAAGAAATGTTAAGCTTATATTCACATTATAAATATAAAATGGTAGAAAAATCAGTATTGACGTTCGCAAGTCATATTTTTTCTTTGGAAGTAAGGAATAGTAAATTCGGCGACTTTCATTACTAGTACATTTCTATCTTGATTGCCGTTAGTAATATCATTATAATTTGTTTAGTGAATCATTTGATCATCATTAATTAACAAAATAATGATGAATTATGCGAGGCACGGTGATGACACAAAGCGAGCGTTCAATGACGCAAAGCCATCCGATATAACTATTAGCGATACCTCAAAGCCACGTGATATCAGTATACACATAAAAAATCGGCGAAAAGCAGCCAACAAAATAGCATCGGTGGAGAAGTAAAATATTCATGGCATACAAAAATCCATCGGACGTGGGCTTAACAAACAGCAACTCTTGCATTCGTAGCGCCCGTAGATGAAGCGCACGTTGTTCGCGCATACAGAGCGAACAGCGAAATTTCCGATGTGTGTCGACGCGCGAAGCGCCATGACGAGACACATCGATCGGCTCGCAGTCTACACGTTGGCGCGCATAACCGCGAGCTAATAAATTGTAATGGAAAGTTCCACCTGATATTTAGGCCCGCGGGCGCTCGCGCACGCACACACGATAGCTCACCAATATCGGCTAACGCCATATTACACGCTCGCCCGCTCGCGTTTTCACATGTTTTAATTCCCGGCATTGCGCCTCGTTAATAGCCAGAGGTGCGTTCAGCAGAAACTGATTTTACGTTCTAATACATGCTCCAACTTGAGTGCGCCGGTTGTTTGAGCCGGCGCGACTTTATTGATTTCGCGTTTTCGAGCCCGATTAATGTCATTACTTGGCGCTCGCGTACACCTGCACTGCATCGCTCTACGCACTCCTCGCAAGCACAAAAATATGCGCGGATTATAATTGGAGCAGTATCGTCGATAGTTGCCATTACTCCAATCAATCGTGCGATTGATTGGCCACTCGCATCTCGCAAATAGCAGCTCCTAAATTGCGCAGCTTCAATTAATTAACGAAAGCGGTATAATTTACGTTGCCTTGTTCTCAGCTAAAGGAAAATTCGTACGTGTTTATTGATTTTCCATGTTGATAAGAAAAAAAAAAATTTTTCATTAATGGACAGTGATCACCGGCGATCGATCGCCCTTTCCGCTCTAATAACTGCTTTCCTTCCGCGAACAACGAGAGCGAGCACAAAGGAAAAAGTTGAGAGAGAGGTGCGCGATTAAACTCGGCGCGCGCGCGAATCTCCGCCCTTTGATTTTCAAGAATCAGCGAAGTCGCCGAGCGACCTCGCGTTAAAGCACAGCTTTTCGACATTTCAACGGCGAAGTGATATCGGCAAACGAGAGACCATTTTCGGATTCGGAACGTCAATACGCCAAAGTTTGTTTCACTTCCGTTTGGCCTTAGCTTCGCGAATTATTAATGCGTTTCGCGCGCGCTAGGTTCTTTTTCTTTAGCGCGCGACTTATCGAGAGAGCGATATTCGAGCTGCATGCACACCAGGTCCCAGTTGTAAATTGAGTAGCTTCCGCGTCTTTCTTCTTGTCACGCCCTTTTTTTCTCGTTCTCTCCCTCATGAGGAATTGAAACGTGTTGTACGACTCGAGTTTGTAAGTACTTCATCGTCGAAAATGCGCATGTCTGCGAGTGTCGTGTGCCTTTTTTTTTCATCCCTCAGCGCAGCGCGGAAATTATATCTTCTTTTTATGAGATTCTCCGCGTTCAACTGCTGCTCGCGCCAATAACTTTATTCGATTCGCGTTATTTATAACGAGTCTGGGTTTCTCCGGCAACGGAATAGACACTCGATGGAGTCGATGCATCAGAGCGAATTTCGCACTTCAACATCGATACGATGTCCGTTATATCCGATGCTCGAGAAACGAGTCTTTAGCAGGTCAGCCGACGATCGCGCCAACAGCCGCGTCGGAACGAGAACGCGCGCGCGGGCGGATATTTTTCATTGCACAATGGAAGATTAATTAACTGCGGAATGCTCGGCGCGTATACATTAGCCGGTAAACGACGTAAAATTTTCATTCGCAAGCGTGTAGCCGTTAGCGCCGCTCGCTGCTTACATTTTAAGCGTATTATTGCGATTATGCGAGAGCAAATTTAACGCGGCGAGCTCGCGATCGACGGTGCATAAAAGCACGGGTTCATGAAAACACTTAGCAACTGCATTCGCACGCAACGACGTACGCTCGTTCGAAGTCTGCCGACAAAGTGTGCGTTCGCGGCTCTGTTGACGGTCGTGACAAAAAAAAAAAAAAAGATAGAGCGCGCAAATCAAGGGCACGGAGCTGCGCCGCGCGATATCAGCAAATAACTCGATCGTGGGGTGCGCCGGGCAAACACAGCAGCAGTAGCAGCAGTCAGCCAGCCAGCAGTGGCAGTGCATTAAGAGCCAGCGCCGCAAATTGCAAGTCAAACATAGTTGTTAAACAATAGGTGCATCGAGGCATTTCTTGTGGAAAACTCGGCTCTGCTGGGTGTTGTTATATCTGCGCTAGCGGCGAGCGGCGAGCACGGCGCATAAAGCCACGCTGGTGGTGGGGTAGGTAATCGCGTTTCGAGCTCTCGGTAGACCACCGCCGCGGCGGCAGCGCTGTTACGCGCGCGCGTCGCGACGGTTATGATTCGGCCGAGGCGGCGAGAGCCCACGGCCGCACACACGCGTAACAGCGCGAATTTTCGTTTTAGTGCCCCGAGGACAAGACAATGCGCGCCCGCGGAATAAAGCGCTGGCGGCTTAACGTCGTTAAACAAAAGCCCGAGAGCCCGCGAACTTTGCAGGTATTTATACGCTGCTTTTCGTGAGGGTCGGCTCGCACTCTGTGACGACCCCGCTGCTGCGGGTCAATCCGCCGTTTCCGCGTGGTTTGCTTCGGACCTTCGACGGATTCTTTGTAATCCGCGAACGACTACAATTTTAAATCTTCGTGCTCGTTTTGACAAGAATTTATACAAATCGTAGTGAATAAAGTTATATTTTTCTTTAACGACTGAATTAAATCAATAAATTTATCTCAATAATAGATACATTGGAGAGATTAAATTTACTGGATTACATTTTTTCGACAAAGTATCAATTGGTAGCTTTCAAAACTCATTTTAAAAACTATGTTTCGGAAAAAAAAGAAACTTATGTAATTATTCAAAAACCAAACTCATCTTCTATATATTTATCATACAAATGGAGAGCCGTTTAAAAATAGAAATACCATCACACAAATAGTAGTAACACTTTCTTCATCATCTTACAGAAAATGCAATCACAGCAAAACAATCGTAAGTACGAGGATAAACACTATATAGGAAATGAAACGAATGTCAACGAAGCAAGCAACATTTTCTCCTCGTGTCTATATATTTAGACGCACTAGACGAGAAGCATGTACACTTATTACCTGAGAAATTAGATTCACTTATCATTTACGCGCGCTCGTCATTGTGCGCGCCTGCATAATGCTACCCGTGAAATCCGAGTGCTGAGGCCAAATTGGAGTTTCA